GGCCCAGCCCCACCTTCAAGTTGAAGTCACCACGAATCCCTCAAGGGTCTCTGTTGACACCAGAGTTTCAGAACCTGTCTCAGTCATTTGTTAGCAGCCGTGGAACTGAGGCGGGAGAGGCGGAGGAGTCACTGCGGCGGGGGAACGGAGGGTGGTTCTCAGTGCTCCCCCGCGGGCCTTGGCCTTCTCGCCAGCTGCAGCGTCCCCCTTACCCCGTAAACGTGCTGGTTCTAGTTCAGACGCCTTCTGCCCTAGTCCTGGTCCTGCTTGCTCTGTGCAGGAGGTGGTCAGGGATGCAGCTTATTTCCTTTACTAACTTGAGCAGAAAATATTCCTCAAAGTGGCTTTTTGACCGATGGCTTGGCACAGTCCTGCCTCCTCCGCGTGGCACAGTGAGGCAGGAGCCAGGGGCTTCATGTGACGTCTTTCTTCCTGGGAGACTAGCATGGATTTCTCCTGATGTCACCCAGCCTGCACCTGATGAGAACCGGGCTCCAAGTCCCAAAAGTGATCAAGTGATCATGATATTCTTTATTTATTTATTTATTTTTGGCTGTGATGGAACTCGGGGCCTCACACATGCCAGGCAAGCTTTCTACTGCTGAGCCCCAGCCATCCCCAGTGCCATCATCGTGAACCCCAAATTGACAGCCGAATCACTTAGGCTGATGATGGAAGTCCCAGCTCACGTTAGGGTACCTGGTGACCAGCCAGGGGGGTGGAGAATTGGGTGTGCTTTCTAAAGATCTTCTTCTCATCAGGAAGAACCACTGGATTGGAGCCAAAGCCTTAGTCAAACTCATCAAACCAAAGAAAGACGGTTCCAGAGAACGGTTGAAGTCAGCCACAGACAGCCCTCCGTTGCAGCTGGAGTCCTCAGGGTCAGACCCTGCCTCGCCACCCCCTTCTCAGCCTCTCAGGTCACGGCCAGAGAACCCCAACACCCCCCCAGTGCGCCTGAACTGTGCAGAAGAGCATGACACCCACAACGGGACTGTGGTCAAAGGTAGGGTGGCCCCACCGGCTGCAGTCGGGGTGCGGGGCATGTCCTCGAGATTCGTCCCAACCCCCCAGGGTGAGCGGGAGGGGGTGGGTGTGCACGGGTGCCTCCTGCATAGGCCTGTCACGAACTGAGTAGGAAGTAGAAACCCAGGGCGCCCTGTGGCTGTAGTGTCCAGTAGCACTTCAGAAAGAGAAGTGTCTTCGTCACGCAGGCCGTGGTGGGTGTCTGAGTCCAGAGTTGATCCTCAAGCAGGTGCCGTAGAGCCAGAGTGGGCAGGAGGGAGGGCCCTCGCACAGGTCAGGGCATCTAACAACCACCTCCCGTAGGGACTTCCCAGGTATGTGTAGCGCGTTCCCCACGTGCCCAGGAGCTTCAGCAAGCCCTCAAAGGAGGGTCTGTTCTGCCGCCTGACCTTCCCCCTTCCTTCAGCCATGGGAACCAGTGTGTGTCTTCCCTCAGGGTTGTCATTTAGAGTTTGCCACAGGTTCTGGAATAAAAGCAGGACTCCTAGTTGTATGTGCTGTGTCTTATCAATGCCCAGGCCACTTGAGCTGCAGGGTTACTGTAGTCTGCTTGGGGCGATGACTGGCAATCAGTAGTCCAGTGCTTTCCCACTCAGGAGTTTTATTGTGCTGTGTGTGTGTGTGTGTTCGAGATTGAACCCAGGGCCTTGTGCATGCAAGGCTAGCACTCTACCGACTGAGCTATTTCCCCAGCCTAGTTTTATTATATTCTTGTGCAATTAAAAAAAAAAAAAAAAAGGAAAATGTGAGCAAGATAAATGGGTTGTGGCAATGAC